GTAGTATAAAGAGATTAGGTCACAATTTTTAAAATGGAGAAATGCAGAAATTTGAGATACCTTAGAGATCATCTACAGCCCTGTTAGATGTATGAACCTTCTCTAAAACATCCCAGCAAGGGGTTATTCAGCCTTAGATTGAATGAAAATGGGGCTAAGGAACTCAGTACCTCCCAGGAAAGCTCATTTGAGTTTCAGATTGCTCTTAATCAGAAGTGTTTCCATAAAGATTTCACTACGTAATTTCCAACTACAAATTTTTTTTAGTTTTACATCCAAAATCATTATGCAAAATCCTCTCCTTCACATGCTACAATGACATCTTTCTCACTGCCACGTTTATCACAACAATATGAGTTAGTTTTAAGGTATGATCATTAAAGCTGGCAAAGTGATTGTTATTTCTTACTTCTTGTCTTAATTCTGCCACTGTCTATATGACATTGGCAAGAACCCATTATATCTGGACCTTAATTTCTTCATTGTAAAACAAAGGGCTTAGATTTTGTCAAATTCTAAGATTGACAATTTCAGGATATTTCCTGACTATACCTTAGACCCTAACCCAGTGGAACATCACATTTGTTTTCACTTACTTTCTAGAATAAACTAGGATTTTTAGTGAATAAATGAATATCCTTCTCTTTCTTGTTTTTCTTAACTTTCTAATTATTATGGATATGATTTTTAAATTACAGTGTATGAACTAAAATATTATTCCCAATGATACGGCCAATAATTCTAGTACCTTTGATTTTGTGGTTCCTTTCTTCCAAAAAGAAGATAGAATACTATGATCTTAAGGGTTAGAAGGAGCCATTTAGGACATCTAGCCCAACCTGCTGCTAATGGAGAAATCCATAATACAGCATCCCTTTTGTTTTGCCTCTCAGCCCCTGCTTAAGCATTTCTAGTGAAAGGTGCTTAGTGTTTTGTGGATTTAGCCTGTTCTGTTGATGGACAGCAGCACAGTGCCTGGTCTGTAGAAGACACTCAGTGTTTGTTGAATGAACTGATTAGCAGGTAGTTTGGTGTTTTGTTTTGTTGTTTTTTAAAGTTGTGCCAAAATCTGCTTCCTTGGAACGACCCCATGGTTCTGGTTCTGCTCTTTTTAGCATGGCAGGATATACTCCTTGATACTTAGTAGCCCTGCAACTATTCAAATATAACTATCATAGCTAACCTTCCCCACCCCACCACCAGAGCGTAACTTCTCTAAGCTAAAAAGGTCACGCTCCTTTATTTGTTGCTTTTTATACCTTTTACTACCCAGATCCCTATATACCAGATGAATTTTAGTTTGTCAACATCCTCTTTAAAATGTGATGCCAAGAATGTAACATAAATATAATACAAAACAAGATTTTAAATTTACTCATTATTTTTGCACGTCTGTTGAGCCCAATTCAGGAAGACCAGGGAGAATGTGCTTCAACTAAATGTGTTTATTGCATGATTCTTTTAGCACCAGAAAGCATCTGCTTGCTCTGTGCCTTCTCGCCACTGTATCTCTAGTTATCAAATACATCAAAGAGAGCCAGTCTTCTATCTTTTAAGGTGGTGCCATGGATTCCAATTAATCATTTCTTAATGACATTAATAGCTCATACTGGGCTGAATGGTGTGTTGTCCATTTCTAACGTTCTTGTGTCCTATTAACAGATACATTATTTAGAGTTCTTCTCTAAGAATCTATGGAATGAAGTCCGTCAAAGATAGAACAAATACAGAACAAATTATTTATTACATTTGTTTCTTTGTGGGATGATTCACCCACCTTGGCTATTTTAAGATGTTGCTGCCCCTTCAGAATCAGACCTATTGTGTGTCTTTCTTTACTATGTCATAATGAACGTAGTTTTGTCAGATCTTCACCACCAAGTGAACTGGAGTTGAGACAAAAGCCTGAGTAATTCAAACAAAATGCCTTTTCAGCCTGTGGAGGCTCTGATCAGTACTGAAGGTCAAAAACAAAAAGTGTATCATGTTACATTAAATTGAGACTAAGTCATGTCCATCCTCTACCATCATCACTAACCCCGTGTGTAAAAAAGGAAAAAACTAGGAGGACTTTTGAACTGTTGAATTGTTTGCCACCAATTCCAGGGAACACTGTCTGCTGAGAAAACAGTGCCACAGTCAG